GAAAATTAACAAGAATTTTTTGGGACTGTAAGCGCTTTTTGTAAGGCTTCATTTGAAATCAAGTCTGAAGCTGATGCGGACAATCTTATCATTTATTTAATAAAACTCAAATTCTGCAGATGAAATCATAATTGTTGACGATAATAGCTTAAATCTTAAAGATTAGTCAACATTATAATTTCTTTACTGTATCCAAGTCATCATCAATGTCAAGAGACAAGCATTAATTCATCCAGTCAACCAAAATGATAAATATTTTTCAAGAATTTCTTTGAATTTTATTTTTCTAAAATTACTAAGCAACAAAAACAGCAAATGCTTGAGAAAGGCACTTCATGAACAATATTAAGAGATCATAACAAAATGACTGACGAATAAAGAAGGAAAGAAAGAATGAATAGAGAGATAAATATAATCCCTGACATGTGGTACGATTTTTCATCACAAAAAAAGCTTTTTATGCATTTTCTTAAGAACTTTATTCATCTCTCTTCCCTTTTCATCTCGTGCTGTTTCCTTGTGTTTATGCTTTTATTCATTCAATTGAAAAGGATCTTCTTTCTATGCTGTTTATTTTCTTAATTCACATGACACTTTCAAAGAATTAAGACCAAAATACCTAATCCAAAACAATAATGAATGAATTGATGTGGAGGAGATGAGGAAGTTCCCAGCCAATAAAAAGTTTTACAGACTAGGAATTAAGCAAATGAATATTTGCTGTCAAAAACTCAATATTTTAAAGTAGAATAGACCAATCCATGAAATGCATGAAAGCAATAATGCTGATGGGAAAAAAGTATCACATAATCGAAAGCCATCACTCTATATCCATGCAATTAAAATTGTCATTTCAATTAATGTCACATATATGTGAGAAAAATGTCGTCTACAAAGTCACACTTAATCGCATCCAATGCTTCTGCAGTGAAGCATTCAACTTCTATAAGGTACTAAAGCTCTATTTACCATTGAAAATTATTGTTTGGTTTGCGATGATATTGAAATGTTTATCTGTTATCATACAGCACAGCATACAGCATATATACATGTAAGATTGTAGTATGAATATGTAGAAGCAATAAAGTTGGATATGCTACCTCCACCTTGCGCGTATACGAAGGTGCTGATGAGCCGTAAATTGGATTTCATATTAGAGATAGATATTATATTCAGTCCATATCCTCCTTCTTTTTTCTGTTTGTATAGTCAGATGTAAGAGCAACAGCAAGTTGAAATGAATAAAGCAAGGCAAGAGGATGGAAAACCAAGAAAAGCAATACTCTGTGGTTTATGGTTTTGTTCTCATTTTCACTTCTGAGAAATTTTATTTTTCCTTTCTTCTTCACCTTCTCTCGTATGGTGCCACTGTACTTTATGGATATGTGTGTATATGTGTACATATGTTTGTAATTTATGCTTAACTTTCCGACCAGGCCACAGCATGCACAGATTAACTTTGATTTTTTAGGGAATGAGTCTTTTAAAGTTTTGGTCCACAATTTGAATCTTGTAAGCTTTGTTTGGTAAATTGAAAAAGGACTCAAAGTTATGTTTTCCTTCTTTAAAGCATCACTGGATCTTTGTTTTATTCTAGTTTATACTATTTAGATCTAGAATATTGCAATTATGGCCAATATAAAGCTTGAACTGATTAAATTTTATAAACATCCGGAATTATTTGCAAAGAGTAATTTCAAATCACAAATTTACGTAAAGAGATTCCATCAGGATTAATCAGCTGTGTTCGAAAAGTTTGCTGCAATCTGAACGAGCTTGTCCAAACCAGAATGATATTCACACATTATTCCGACCCCACCAATGATGCTTACATGTATACATATAGTAGAATGGAATAATACTGCGGATATTTTGCAGTGTTAAATGATGTTAAATTCAACAACAACACAGGTATAGAATAATACATAATGTATGATAAGAGTGCACAGGTCATGGAAAATGTGACAAAATTGATAAATTCTCATGAGAGTATTTTTCGTCCTACTAAAAAAGCAAAGCAACAAAACATAAAATAAAGCTTGAGAAAAATACAAAACAAGTACAGGCCTCAAAGCAATAAATTTATATCTTTGGATGTATGTGAATGAGTTTGAAAAAGATGAGAGGGAAAAGGGGCCGTATTACGTACGGGGGGGGGGGGGGGGGGGGGGGGGGGGTTGAAAAATTGTAACAAAATGTAACATGGGGGGGGGGGGTCAAGAAGTATGTATGTAACGTTCTAACTGTCGTCTGTCTAAAGTTCACGAAAAAATTTACAAATTCACACCAAAAACATTTATAAAATAAAATAAATTATGAACGTTCAGGGGGGGGCTTTTAAATTGTAACATATTGTAACAAGGGGGGGGGGGTGAAAAAAGTCGTTTTTTTGCGTAACGTAATAAGTGAACGGCCCCAAATTATCTTGTTGAATTATTAAACAGTTTCAACACGCTTCTTTTCATTCTTATTCTTGTTTACCTCAGAAAAGAAAGCTTCCTTGGCTGAATGATGATCAAAGGTGAGACAGGGAATGGAAACATGCCTTTGAAATATAAATTATACTCTAGCGGTTTACTTAAAAGCTTTTCGACTAAAATACAATTAAGGAGGATGCTTAACTTTGGATTATAATATGAATGGGTAAATAATGTGTTTTTTGAAGCTGTAGCTTCCTTGAAATTCAGTATATTATTCATGAATCATGATTAACAACTTAAAAGATTTTGCATCCACGTTGAAATTCCAAACAATATACAGGAAGAAGAGATTAGATATCAAATTGAATAATCTCCTGTCTGTCCAATCTTCTTGATTAAATAACAAATAAAAAATAAATAAATAAAGCTCTGTGCTCGGCATTCATCTGGAACTGAATTATAGAAGAAAAAAAATTGTTTTTGTTTTCTCCTTTTTTGCCTCCCCGCATTTTTTATTTCACTGTTGCTGCCACAATCAGTTGAAAATGGAAGAGATACTCGTCTCCTGTAAGCAAAAGCACAAACATTGAGTGAGGATGGAAAGAAGCTTTTAAAAACAAAAACATTTCTGAATAATTTATGAACACTTTGACGAGAAGAGGAAATAGCTGCTTCTGTTGGCTGTTGCTTAAAGGCATTGTGTAGCAATATTTTGTATTATCAACAAAGTTGCGATTGCGCGAAACTAAGATCTAACTGATGAATATATCCTCATTTGATATACAATATAAATAATTGAATAAATGAGTGCGGTAATTAATGTCCTGAGCTCTATAATGCCAAGGAAAAAAGGATCAATTTTCACAAGTTTTATGGACGAAAAAGATCGTTAATTGCTTAACATATCAATTAAAGACTTTAAGTAGAGTAGGATACTGAAACGTTTCACGAAGGTCACAATGACATTAAATGGTGTAGAGCAACCGCAGATGTAAATCTCTGACGCAAAGATTGTATGGATTGACGTATTTATCTGGTTGAATTTATTTTTAAATAAACTTTTCTGGATGTTAAAAACTTTTTCTTTATTTTACTATTCCTAAGCATAATTATAATCCTGGATCTTCCAACTACCAAACTTTAAGTTATTTAACAGAAGAAGATCAATATATTGCTTGTTCTTACTTAAAATTTTAGAATTTTAAAAGTAAACAAAGATTTAACCCCAAAAAAAGTTCAGGTATTGTCTAAATCTCTTGACACAAATTTAAAACTTTATAAAGATATGAAAAATCCAAGCAAGTTGCTCACATCCATAAAAAGCCTTTTTCCTGTACATTTATTAATCAAACGCTTAAAGCTCTCGAAAAAAAAGTCAGTGACTAAAGTCTTTTGTGTACACTTAAAACATACAACGCTATGATACGAACATAATGATTTAATTTCTCTCCATATTTTAATGCCCTAAAAACTTTTGCAATGCCAAAAAGTCAAACAAACAAAAGAGGAGTTGGAGGGGTAGATCTTTTTTTTCTGCAAACAAATAAGCATGATGCCATAGGGCAACTGAGTGGAGCATAGTGTGGCAATTGTGTGGTGTGTGCGATGAGAGAGAAGGAAAAAAAAACTTTTTTCATATTTCTTTCCATTCTTTATTAAATCCTAAAGCTATGAGAAAGTTTTTGAGAGTTGACAATCTGCTGCTGCTATTTTTTGCAATAACCGTAAATTGTCCACATGTTGAATGTTTCATCCAGTTTCATCATTTATCGCCATTTCTGTTCACATTTTATAGTTGTATAATGTCGTATGTGAAATCAGTTATGATGTTTTTATATCAACATAAAAAATTCCATCATCGTCAGGTTGAACGCAAGCCTGAAGATATTAACTTGATCACCATACATGTTGAGGTTAAAGATTAATGAAAAATTTCCCATGCTTTCTAGCTTCAACGTTTACTCATTCTTGATAAATATAAAGCATTTGGAATTGAACTAGGAATTTTAATTTGTGCAAAGACTTTTCTAAGCTGATATAAACTAGGTTTCATGATGTTCAATTCCATTCATTTGAAATTTGAATAATATTTATTGCACCTTAGTTGTTTTCCCCTTTTTACACGAAATTCAGTCTGTCCAAAAATTACGTTTGACTATATAACAATCCAGACTTAAGGTCACAACAGGCCAGTCCAATTCCAAAAGGAAGCTAGTGCTTAAAACGTCTAATAAAAACATCTTATAGCAAAATATTAAATTTCTATTCAGAAAGTCTTAAAATCTATAAAGGAACTCAATAAAAGACATGGAATCAATCAGAAATTAATTATCCGCAATGTCAAAAGATTAAAAGTTTCTAATCCTCTCTAAAAGTTCCATAAATCGTTCTGTTTATTCTTACATTTATCAATAAATCTCTATCCAGTCCACTTGAAATTTTTTTTATATGTTTTTCATCACAAATGACTTTTATCATTAAAAATTAAACGAGTAATTAAGTTCCTTAAACATCAAGTGAAAATTATTATTGATAAATGTGACACAACAATAACAATAATCGAATGTGCTGTCATTATATCCAGAATGAATTCTTTTGTTCTCAAAATCAACGGTTTTTGGCGTTTACGATCCTAATAACAATCGACACACATTTCTTTCACTCCGTACCTTAATAAAAATTTCAGTTACTATTTATTTCCATTCTCATAATTTCTTCCGTGGGAAATTTTTATTCTCTGAGCGAGGAAATTCTGTGAGAGCTTTTCATGCTCGCAGAAAAAAAATTCCTTATAAATTGAGATGAAAATCTCGATATCCCTTCAGTCGTTCTGTGAGCATCGTGCGGATAACAAACCAAAAATAAAGGACTCTGAGTTTTAAAAGAAATAAGTTCAAGGCGGGCAATAAATTTTTTTTGGAGATAAGCAAAGTAAAGTGTGGTTTTTGTGTTGAAATTAAAGTTTGAAGGAAAAACGTGAAAAATTCTTTTGAGTTATTCCTTTGCCTGTATTTTGTGTCTGTGGATTGCAAATTGTGTATTTTGAGAGATAAATCTAGGAAGAAGTGAGGAATATTTTTTTTTGAATTTCTGATTGATGGATTGCCAGTCAAACTTGATTGCTAGAAATTCTGCAGATGCTATATTTTACATTTGATTGAAAACCTTGAGCTTTTAACTCTAAATGCTACAAACTTTATAAACTCTTCTAAGAATCTGCATAAATTTAGAAAATTCAAGGAACTGCCAAAAATCACAAAACACCGCTAAAAGTATTTTAAGCATAAGCTTTGAATAAAACCTTCTCAAACTCTCTAAATTTACATCAAATACGAGTTTTTCTGTTGCGGTTCCTCAAAAGTATTTAAACAAAAGTTCTTTAATTAATTAATTCAATTTCAATGTCTTTTTTATAAACTCTGTGCGGCGCGATTAATTAAAATGGGATTAACTTCCATCCCAGCTTCCTTTCTCATTTCTGTATTTCAATTTTCATTATTGTAAAAAATGACAGCAACAGCGGCACTTTGAAGAGCCAGTTTTTATGAAGATGTAAAAAAATTTTTTTTGTTGCTGTAAAATCGAGAGTGAAAAATTAATTAACAAAAGTGGTATAAAGTGGAAATTGAATTTTAGCGAGATGAATCTTGTCTGATTACTTAATTATTTTCCAATTATTTACTGCTTTATTATAATTTTACAGCTATAAAAACAAATAAGAATGAGGAACAAAAGAAATCTCGAAAAGTTTTGATCAGATTGTTTGGAGCAACGTAAAAAGATGATAATTATAACTGCAGCACCTCACATTTTCATATTAAGCACGTTTTTAATTATTGCTAGTTTTTAAGCTGCGTCCAAAATGTCAAAAGAAGGTTTGGAATTTAAAAAGCATTAAACTTTACAATTTCCAATTTTTGAGATGCTTAAGTAGGAATAATCTTCTGGATCCCAAAATTATTCCATTCCTCTAGTACACAGCATTTTCAATCCATTTAACCTGAACACTTTGTTGTTTAAAGCAGAACAAGAGGAAAAAAATTGAATTTTAACTTTACGGCAAACGAGAGGAAATTGTGTACAAATTGCTTTCAACTTGAAACATGATCCACAAATTGCTTTCAATTGTTTCAACGTTTCCATGGAATTTTTATTCATCTCCTCTTTTTTTTTATTTCGTTTATACGGGCCGAAAACAGCCACAAAAATGAGAAAGGAAAAGTTTTTTGCAGCTACAAAGAATAAAAAGGAAAAACTTTAGTTCTTATTTTGCCTTATAGAAATAGATAGGTGCCTAGGATTGAAAACCCTTGTTTGTGCGGAGCAATTTGTGGTTGATCATAGATAAAATATGGATAAGATTATTTAGAAATTGAGGAAGCTTTTTGAGGTTCTTCTCTCATTTCCTCTTTTTTAAATCAATGTTTCCGGCCTCATAATAACTCTATTTGAAGCTTCAAAAAGTTCTCATCTCTTGAAAGTTGTAAAGAAGCTGTACACATTTATAAAGTAAATTAATTAAGTTTCACTGAAGCTCGGGAAGTATAAATATACAATTACTTTGAAGGCAATGAAAATACGGAAAAAAAGGAAATTGAAGAAAAAGTCTTACTAATTAAATAATTAATATGGAACAAGTACGTGTATATGCGTACAATATTATTCCTTTCATCCTTTTCTATTTGGTTCTGCTAATTTCTAAAGGATATTGTTCGTGACAAAATGACCGAAGAAAAATAATTTGTGCTTGTCATTCTGTTGACAAATTCAGGGTTGGGTGGGGGTTGGGGATGTGGTTGGAGGAATTCAATATTTTTAATAATTTTGAGTTATCTTAAGGTTGTATTGTCGCAGATTATTAAGAATTTTCAATCTAAATTCCCATCCTTAATCGATTAATAAATTTAAATCTACTCTGGCATGTCATTGATGATATAAAAAATGCCTGAAACGTGTATTCAAAAAAGGACAACATTTTCTTTCAAGTCACACAAAAAGGCATGTTTTTGAATGAAAAAAAGAACATCGATGGCAAGCAATTTTTCATGACCGAAAAACAAACTTTTTAACGGGAAATAAATTTAATTATTTGCAAAGTGGAATTTATTTGTTTATTCTCCCATTAAATGCGTAACTTTAACTCAAATACAAATTATTTTCATTGGTAAACAAGTTAAGGAAGTTTAATTGGATATTTTTGACACAAAATCTGATATTTTTGTGTGTTTTGCTTTCTTCGCTTTAAACTTTGTTGTTCTGTACTTAATTATGTATTCATAAACATAAATAGGAACTAAGTTTTCTCATTTAATTATACAAAATGATTTGGTTCCGAGGAAATTCGATCTTAAGGGCTTTCCACCCAACAAATTAGAAATCTAATATTAAAGAAATATTTGGAAAAGCCATTGAAATGTATATTTATGACAACGCTTTTTCTCATTTTAAGGATCCAGCTTGAGGCTTTGAAAAAACATTTTTGAATCATCCAATAAATTCCTCAGAAAAGAAATGGAAATACAAAATTTTCAACTTTTTCTCATATTCGAGCAAATTCTTTGGAATTATTTGAAACCCTTAAGCAGCCTTAAGCCTACAAGAAAAAATTTTTGAATCAATATAAAAGTTAATAATTTTCAAGAAAATCTTTATTGACTTAGAAAATCTCGAGAGGAACGGAATGTTACTAAGAAAATGAGCATTCATACTTTTTGCAAGCATCTTCAAGAAGCTTCTGTAAATTTTAATGCCTACAGAGAATTTTTTCTGAGAATCTTAAATTTCTATAAATGACCCAAAAACATAAAAGCAGGGATTACATTTTTTCAATAACTTCTATGGACAGTCGTTCATGAATAACGTCAGAAAATTGAATTTTCCAATCTTTTTGTCACACAAAATTGAAAGGATGTACACATCATAAGTAAATGATTCCGATAATTTTTTTTGTGCTTAAGCATTCTCCCTTTTCTTAATTATCGTAAGCAAAATATTTGAAGTCTCCAAGAAATGAAGAAAAAAAGAGTTTGGGTTTCCGTCGCAAACAACCCTCGAGTATTGATTGATTATTGAGCAAATTTATTAAAAATTTTTATTGAGAATGTTTTTCTTTCTGTGTAGAATAAATTATTAAATTAGAAAGCCTCATTAACGTGGAAGAGATTTTTCCTCAAGTCTTGATTTGATTGAGGAACGATGGAAGTTCTTATTTAATCATAAATTTAATTTTAAAGTTTTAAAATTCAATATTCAAGAATTTCAATAAATTGGAATGAAAAGTACGACAAGCATTCATCTTTAATATTTATACTTAGCACATTTCTATGTCGCTAGTCATGGTCTTTAAGAATCATACAAAAGAAATTTATTATTCATTTCTCGAGCTACTTATTATCATCATTATTATCTTTGTTGTTTTATTCATCTTCTTCTCAACATTTCTCGTGTTTATAAAGAATTTCTTTTCTTTTTAATTGCAAGTAACGGATAGGAAAATTAGCAAGAAAAAATGCTAATTATGAGGGCGGCGGCATACTCAAGCTCTTCTTCATCAACTCATTGTAGCTATTTTTTTATTCTCTTCCATCTTTCTACTTCCCTTTTCCTCTTTTTATCCATGTGAATTTGCGGAGCAAAAAAGGCATTAACATCATCTGAGTTGGGCTCTTTATCATCATCATCAGCATTATCATTCAGCAGATCCTAATGCAATATTTATGTGTAGTTCTGTGTCAGTCGATGACTGATATTGATGACTATACGAAAAATCGTGTGGTTTGAGTAAAGTTTTACTTGAATGTGGAGTTAAAACAGAAACAATCCATTGAAATATAAAATGCCAGTATAGCTATCGAATACTCATCATAGTTCCTTTCATCTTTATGTCTCAATGTTTCCAATACTCTTGTGTCTCTCAAAGGACAAAACTATACACCCGAAGGTTGGAAAAGAATGAGTTCGGAAATGTTAATGCCTTACTATCTATATCTTTGTATCTGTCAGAACAAAAAGCAAGTAGTAACAGAAACTGAATGAGATCTTTTTCTGTCAGATATGAATTACACACAAAACAAAATTTTGCATAATTAATTTCATTATAAAATGGAAAATGGGTAAATTGAGAAACAGAAAGTTTGACAAAGAGAAGAAGGAGATGATGTATATGATGTTAGATTATATTCATTTAAATGACATCTTTAACCTCATGACTGCTCATCTTTGTGAATTGTGTTGATGTGCCTTTTCCTTGTTTCACAGCTTCCTTGTCATTATTGTTCTTGGAATTGGCTATCTCGAATGAAGATCTTTGCTATTATGACGAATTTACTGTGCTGTATCAAGCTGTTATGCAATTTATATATAGTAGCAATTTTTTATGCTTACAAAGTTCAATATCCTTCAACGTAATCTAAATTCAGTTTTAAAGAATAGAACCGTTTATCATTTGCAGACTTGAAGCTGAACAACCTGAACAAAACGTGCTCAACAACTTGTTCTCATTTTCAGTCTGTTGAATTGCATCAAAAGCTTGCAAAATTAATTTGCATTTAAATGTACAACGAGTAAAATATGACGAACGATAATCACATCTTTCACGTGAAAATTCACACTCCAGCAGCATTAAAATGTATTTATCATGATGACTCTCGAACATTTTAAACAATAATCAGCAAAATAGAGTGATTAGCACACACTTTTAATTGAGTGAGCACTTGTGAATAATTAATGGTATTTAGCATATAAAGTTATGATGTTGTTGATGGCTTTAGATTGCTCAATTTTAAATAGAACATTTTGTTGGCAATAAAGCTGTGATTTTATTTGACTTTAAGCTTTTATAAATTTTGTTCACATCAAAAATTAATCATGAATATAATTGGATGATAGAATTTTTCATCTATAATAGTTTATGACTTAACAAGTTCAACACT